TTCAGATGAATTATTATCTCATATAGTGTACTTCTCAGCAGCTGGTGTAAAAAATGGGCGGCTTGATGAAGCATTGTCATTGTTCTATAAAATGGAAAGTACTGGTTTAGATCCTGATATTGTTGTATATTCTATCCTCATCCATGGCCTCTGCAAACAAGGAGAAGTTGAAAGAGCTATACAACTATACAATGAAATGTGCTCAAGGAGAATCCTCCCAAACTCTATTTACACATGGGGGTATTCTGCTGGGTTTGTGTGAGAAAAGGATGATATCTGAGGCAAGGAAGTACTTTGATTCATTAATAGTGAGTGGCTTCTCACAGGAGATTGTCTTGTATAATATCATGGTCAATGGGTATGTTAAACTTGGTTGTATTGAGGAGGCTGTAAAGTTGTACAAACTAATAATTGAAAAGGGGATTAATCCAACTATAGTTACTTTCAATTCTCTGATATATGGATTCTGCAAAAACGGAAAGTTAGCTCAGGCGAGACAAATTTTAGATACCATCAAGCTGCATAGACTTGAACCAAGTGCTGTAACTTATACGACTCTTATGGACGCATACAGTGAAGAAGGAAATATATGCTGTATGCTCGAGCTGCTTCAGGATATGAAAGAAAAGGCCATTGGACCAAATCATGTCACTTACACTGTAATTATTAAGGGCCTTTGCAAACAGAGAAAGCTGCAAGAGTCTCTACAATTACTTAAAGACATGTACGCTAGGGGACTAACTCCTGATCAAATCACATATAATATCATTATTCAGTCTTTTTGCAAGGCTAGAGATTTCACAAAAGCTTTCCAGTTATTCGAGGAGATGCTGCTGCATAATCTGCAGCCAACATCTGTCACCTATAATGTTCTCATTAATGGCCTTTGTGTGTATGGGGATCTAATCGATGCTTATAGGCTCCTGGTTTCTCTTCAGAAGCAAAATGTTACTTTGACAAAATTTGCTTATACCACAATAATCAAGGGGCACAGTGCAAAAGGTGATCCACAAATTTCTGTAGTTCTATTCCACCAAATGATGGAGAGGGGATTTCAGATTACAATCAGAGATTATAGTGCCATCATCAACAGACTTTGTAAAAGATTTCTTACAAGTGAAGCTAAATATTTTTACTCATTGATGTTATCTAGTGGAATTTCTCCTGATCCGGAGATCTGCATAATGATGCTTAACTCTTTCTGTCACAAGGGGGATCTCAATTCATTTAGTGAATTACTTGCTGAGATGATAAAATCTGGTGTACTTCCTGAATAAAAGATGAGGAATTAACAATGTTGACGCATCTCATCTTTGAAAGAGATGGCATTTTCAAGTTATAAGAGTTCAAATGTGAGGTCTATAAAAAGAGTTCCTACCTGAGGAAGATGTTTATTGGCTATGGGAATGGGCTATTGACAGTCTCTGCTGCCCTCTGTTTCCTGTTGCTGCATACAGTGACAGCCTCATCATTCACCTTTGAGAGTGGTAAAGTTGGATTACAAAGATGATGGATCATGAATGCTTGCTACTTGAGAAGATTATAATGCTGCACTTTGCCAAGATTAACTTTTGTAAAGTGTCGGACGTCATTCTTACTATAGGAAAGAAAAGTAGGAGTAACACTGGAAGTACTTGACATGCAAATTCAATCCGGGACGAGGTATCTTGCAGTATCCGTTGGGGTCAATCTTTTTTATTCCTGATGGTGATTATTAACATCAATCTCAGAAGACAAATTGTTGGTACAATCAGACAAAGGTAATTAAAAAATTTCAAAATGGTATTCTCTCTTTGACAATTGCAATTTCAAATGGATAGCCCATAAGAGCAAGTAGTTATACGGCGATTAATAATTATGGACCGACTCAATTTATTTATTGTAGGAATTGCCATGCATCATAAAATCCAAGAGCTGCAGAACATACAGGTTTATTCAGGATCCATTGGCAATGCTGGTAAGCTATCAAGTATGGCAATATTGGGGTAATGTACTTGTGGTCAACGTTTAAAGTTCTTGCTCTTGAATTGGATTACAGTTGTTTCACACGAGGTAAAAATTTTCGTAATTTTATCTCTCAGTTATTTTTCCATCAATAATGTAATTATATATTCTTCCCTGGTGTAATTATTTTCCTGGAAATAAATTAAGCATATATTACTCCCTGATATTCTGGCTTCTGCAGTTTAATTACATCTTGCCCCTGTCATAAATAGCCATTTCTGTTCATTTTCACTTGATAGATTACGAACTGCGGCACTGTCCGGTTACAATCTTTTCATTAATATATTAAAAATAGACTCTGGATTAATATATTACTATAAATTTATATTGCTTGGTTCTTAAAACTTTGTGATAAAATATTCAGAAATATCCAAATTCTTATTCTTGCTTAATGTAGGATTTTCTCAAACTCCCAAGTACAATATGTAGTGTATCTCGGTAAGATAATAATTTATACCTACTTAAAATCTCTATAATGAGCCAAAAAGAATCTTAATAAGTTATGTACACAATGTATATGTAGTGGGAGATACATATAACATAAATATTTTCTTCTTTAATTTGTAAATAAAAAATTATAAACTTCTTTTAAATCAAAGAAATGACTGGTTTTGATTATTAAAACAAATTTAAATCTATACTCAATAATATTATGCATCCAATCTTATTTTCCCACACTATTAAAATGGTGGCCTAACTCAGTTCTTTTATGTGTGTTAAAATTTTCTTTAAAAAACATTTTTAAATTTAAACTAAAAAGATGAAGTTCTAGTACAAAACATATTTATTAAATATTATGCATATGTTGAGATATATTTTCTAAGATTTTTTGAAGTTAAAAATATAATTATAAAATTTATGAACTTTTAAAAATATATTACTTGGATAAAAATTATGCAACTATAGATAGAAAAAATAATATAATGTTTTGAAGCATAACTATATATTTCAAGTTCATAGTCATTCGGAAAAGTTGTGGGTGGATCGCACTCTCCACTGAATGTCACGATACCTCCTACTCCATCCCACGATCTCTCTAAATCAAACACACCATCTTGGCATAATTGAGAAGTTTTCTTGAAGGGTTACCAGAGTCATCCAAAAATTAGAACTAAAGACGACCAAGTTCGCCAAAACCATGCAGGGTTCAAACTCAATTTTCTCTCGCCACACAATTTGGTTGATTGCGCAATTTTAACATGGGATGGAAAGATTTTGTGCTAAAACAATGAATTTAATATAGAAAAACTATAAAAACACTACAAAATTATGTAAAATAACTACTCAACTCATATATTATCTTCCGATACAAAAACATTTGGTTAATAATAACCTCTGTAGAAAGACAGATTTAGAATTTAAGAGTTTAATATTTATGGTAGCTTATAAAAATTAATTTAAGAGATTGATAACACCTTAATTGGTAAGATAAGACTTTCAACTGAGGTATTCATCGTGTACTTGCGGCTGCATGAAATGGCTGAGAAACTCAATATGATGCGTGTAAAGCTAGAGATGCTGGTATGTACATATCTATTAATTGGTACTTTCAACTGGGATTTTCATCGTTTACTTGCGGCTGCATGAAATGGCTGAGAAACTAAATATGATGCATGCAAAGCTAGAGATGCTGATATGTACATATCTATTAATTGGTAAGATAAGACTTTCAACTGGATTTTTATCGTTTACTTGCGGCTGCATGAAATGGCTGAGAAACTCAAAATGATGCCTGCAAAGCTAGAGATGCTGGTATGTACGTATACAGACACATAGTGGTTCTGTTTAATCTACGCACTATTTCTAATGAACTCATCAACAATGTCAAATTTCTTGATATAAGAAAACGAAGAAACCCATCATATATATTGATAAGCTAAAGAAAAGTAACAAGGGAATGAAACACCATATATATCTATGGATTGATATGTAGATATATATATATATATATATGCTGAAACGATTTTGTTTATAGATAAAATATCATGTACGTAAACGTTAAAACCTCAGTTATTCTTGGGTGGGTGATGTCTTGGAGCATGGTAATCAGCGTTAAATGCAACAAAACCTCCATCATCAGACTTCTCCTCGCAATGGTTTCCAGCTTTCTTACACTTCTCATGCATCATCCTCATAATTCCCCTCTTGTCAATTACACTTTCAGTTATCTCCTTCCTCTCAATCTTCATAACCCCATCAACATACATCTTCCTGTTTCCAACTATCTTAACATTTTCTACTCCCGTACCTGTATTCTCATCTAAATTGTAAAGAGTTTGAAAAGAATAAGTAAATATTATAAAGAGTTTGAACACATTAAAATTGTATATACCTGCAGGATGCAGTTCAACAGCAAACGAGGGAGTTGGTAAAGTGGAAAACAGAAGAATGATCAGAAAGCAAACGAACTTCATGGTGGCAATATCTTTCTTCTTCCTTAAGCGCTGTATATATATGTAATAAGACAAAAGGTGGAGTAGAGAAACAAATTAGAAGAGAGAAAAGTTTACAGATGGACAAAACACAAGTCAAATATAGATTTTAGCACCTATAAATATAAGTTCATATCGGGTCAAACCTACCTTCTGTAACACAATATATATAGCTCAAACATCCTCTGATTTAAAAAGAAAAAATAAATCATGAACTTTGAGTCACTGCACATGTCTGGATTGGTAATCTCAAAAACTTGATTTTGAACAATCACAAAGAATAAGAAAACATATATACATACATAACAATATAAATATAGAAGAGGATTGAGTGAAAACACAAGGTGGAAGGCTTGTAGGAAACCAAGAAAATTGAGAGAGAAGAGGCGGTGAAGTGGTCCGTCAGGAAGTAAGAATTGTTTGTGGGGTGCATGCGATAACGTAAAATGAAAGGTATGTGTGTGCATGTGTTTTGCGCTTGTCTGCCGCCATGCAATCTACGAGAAGAGTTTTTGCGATGGTTGGCGTGGCCTTCTAAAAGCTCTTATTTCTAAGTATCAACACGTTATAGTACGTGTATATATATATATATATATATGTACGTACATACGTCCACGAATATTCAAATATGTATGCGTACATCTAGTAAACCAAATTACATAAATAGCTAATACAGAACTAGAATAATATTTAATCTTAAGATGGAGAAAATCCGTGACTCGGTTTTAGAGCATAAGAAAATCCAGAAGATGGAAGCGCTGCTTCCAATTTCAACTTCATGCTAAAAATCCAGTGGGTGTCTCCCCTTGATCTCTACATAAGTAAATGTCTACCAACGAAGTAAAAAATTTATATATATGTATGTTTGTGTGTGTGCGCGCTTGTATATTGAAAGGAAGAAGTCAGGACCAAATCTGAACTCATGACCAGCAAATATAGTTAGTTGATTGGAAGTTGTGAGTGTAACTCAGTAGCATGTTCTACCACATGGAACCCAATATACCGTAGATATAAATATATATACATATATATATATATCCTCCCCACATTCTTTGATATACTTACCAAAATCCAGCAAGATATAAATACGTACATGCATTAGATTAACTCACCTGCATTTCGGAAGTTGGCAGATTGGATAAGCTCTCTTTTCACTATACAGAGATTGTAAGTATAGTTGGCTATATATATAAACAAATTAAGCCGAGATGGAGAGGAAGCTTTTAATGTAATTAATGAAATTATTTGAATTTGAGCCAAACAATATTTTCCATGCTACCAGCTGTTGAGCTTCCCATGACAAGCCAGTATTTGATCATTTCATTTACTATACGTACATAACCTTCATTTTAAATTCTTAATGTAATTTAATGCCACGAAATTAAGAGAGAATTTTATTATAATCACTTCATCCTATTCAATAACATCGGGATCTCAATACATAATTATTTTAATTAATTAATTTCCAATGCGAAGAGTCGTAATTTTTTGGTAAAACTTCAAATCCCAAGACTCATTTGGAATTATGAATTATAATTACATAACATATATTATTATAATTATCTGATAACAAAGTTCGTCGGGGAGATTGTGGGTCGGATGGGGCTTCTACAAGACAGCCCAGAACTCAGTTGTATACATTCAACCTGCCCTTATATTGACATGGGTTTAAAACCTTTGTTTCTTCAGTGTCTATGATTATAATGGTTTAGAGAGAGAAATTGATTGACTGAGAGGTTGGAGAGAGAAAATGAACCTCTGGTAAACTCTCTTTGACTTCCGCCTTTCTTTCACGTCCTTAATTTTTTCCCTCTTGTCACCTCAAAACTAAGTTGTTCATATTTCAATCTAAGTAATAGTAATTTTTAACATATTTTTTTAAAATAATTAATGTTATAATAGAACGAAAATATGTGTGTAACATAGGATAAATATTTTGGACAATCATATTAAAACAAAAATATATAAATATTTTACGTAATTTAATATTATATTTACATATATAAACAGACCGACAAACAAAGAATTCTAAATTAGCAGAATTTTTTACGAATAAAAATTCTCAAAGATATGTAGACCCACAAATCAAAAATTTCTAGTGTATTTGATGGTCACTTGTCCCACATGAATTGGTGATTGTGTCCTCTTTTGGTCGCACAAAATCTCCTCTCTTTTTCTTTTTTCTTCTTTTGCCAAAATTGTTGTCTAATTGATTCATGGAAGTGCAATGAAACCACCTTTTCTATGTCAATAATTGCTTCTGATACATTCAAATTTCCACTTCAAACCCATATATACGCACAGTGTGTGTGTAGGGTAGTTGGTGATACCAAGAGCTGGATGTGTATGTATACATATGTATGTATATGTATAAATTATGGGAGGGCGATTTATCTATTCTAAACATAATTTTAAAATTTATTTATGAAATTTTAAGTATTTTAGAGCATTGCAATAGCCTAACAAATAAATTTATGCCTGATATTCCACAAGTAACCATTCGCATTTAATAAATAATTAATAATTAAAATGACATTAAATAATAATACATAATAAAAATAATATTAAAACAGTAAAAAAATTCTTTTAAAATAATTTAAAAAGTCATCAAGTAATTTTAAAATTATAAATGATAATTTTGGCACAAATATCAGATTTTTTTTTTAATTTCATAAAATTATTATAAATAATAATATATAAAATGAATATTTTTTAATCCTTTTAAAAGCCATAAATCACTCTCATTTAGTAACTCACAAAAAAGATTTCTTCCTAAAATCTTAAAAAAGAAAAATTTAAAGAGAAGGAAAATAGAGATATAAAAGATTTTTTTTTTTTTTTTTTTTTTTTAATCTAAGATATATGTTTTTATAACCCATAATTTTGCAGCCATTAAGAGGCCATAAATCACTCTTAATTAAATTAGTATTAATTAATAACCGACAAAAATTCCTTTCTTAACTCTGTCTCTTCCTCTCTGCGTCTGTGTAAACTCAAAATACCACTCATTTTCTCAAGAAACAAACAGAAACAACTTGTACGCCTACATATCTCTTTGTCTCACTTGCAATCATCTTGTTCTTAGATAAAACCAAGAAAAACCCAACTTGAAGGACTTGACTTCATGCCTCGGCCATGCAGTTCCTCTCATCAACTTCTTTAACCCAAAACGCCATCTACCATTAACGTTTCCTTCGTCTTCTTCTTCCCCTTTTTTTTCATCAACGAAAAAGAAAACAGAAGATGGGTACTGCAACATCATCCATGGCCGCGAAATTCGCTTTCTTCCCGCCAAACCCGCCGTCGTACAGCGTGATCGTGGAGGAATCAACGGGGAAGATGAAGATCTCAGATGTTCATGAGCAGAGAGAAAACGTAGATGTTATGAAGCTAAAAACGAAGAAGGGAAACGAGATCGTTGCCATGTACGTAAAGAACCCAGCAGCTTCACTTACAGTGCTTTATTCCCATGGAAACGCAGCTGATCTCGGCCAGATGTATCACATTTTCGCTGAGCTCAGTCTTCACCTTAATGTCAACCTTATGGGGTACTTGTAATATAATATAATCTAATATATATGTGTGTATATATCGATTAGTGTGATTTTTTAAGGCGGTGTTATGCAGGTACGATTACTCTGGGTATGGACAGTCTTCTGGAAAGGTATATTAATTACAGTAATGTAAATCTATTCCCTTAAACTGAGATTTTACTGTAATAAAATTACACCCAGCAGCCGTTTAAGTATGTCAGAAAGAAAAAAATAATAATAATAGTAATAACACCCAGCACGTGTGAGCGGCTTAGGTCTAGGAAGTCAAACCTTTTACTTTTTATAAAAACTTCCGCTTTAAATTCATTGAGAAATGAGTACTCCTGACCTCCCAGTATAATGAACATACAGGGCTGTCATTGAGATTGGAAATTTAGTTTTGAGTTTTGAAGAAAACAGCGAATTGGTAATTAAAATAGAGCTTTTATAGCATATATTCATATATGTAAATAGTTCTTTGAATTTATAGTTTTACTTTTGTCAATACTTTATTACAGTGTGGTTAATTTGTCATTAGCTTCTTTAAGCTATTTTTGGTTGTTGTCAACTTAGTGAGTTTGTTTTTTCTGTATATTGATATGGGTGCGTAATATATATGCATACATGATATGGGTAGTAGCCAAGTGAGCAGGACACATATGCAGACATTGAAGCTGCTTATAAATGCCTTGAAGAAACCTATGGAGCAAAAGAGGAAGACATTATACTGTATGGACAGTCAGTTGGGAGTGGACCTGCTCTTGAATTAGCCGCACGTTTGCCTCGTCTGAGAGCTCTAATTCTCCACAGTCCCATTTTGTCTGGCCTTCGTGTCATGTATCCTGTGAAGAGGACATTCTGGTTTGATATTTACAAGGTTATATTTTTCTACATACCTTGTCTTGCTTCTTATTAGGTGTCCAGTTGTTTATCATTTTTAACATGAACAAATTTGTCTTCTTATTCCAGAACATTGATAAAATTCCACTTGTCCAGTGCCCAGTTCTGGTAATTCATGTAAGTGTTTTTATTATCTACTTTAGTCCTTCCATAAATCAATTATAGTCGAAAGGCCAGAACATTTAACTTTTTGGCTGAATTTGTAGCTCTAAATATCGAATTGATCCTTGTGGAATATATAAGTTTACTTCGTACTTGAGGATAAATAACACTTGGGTTCTTTGTCTCCCTTTGAATTGTTCCAAGTTGTCCTCAAACCGCAAAGTATACGCGATTAAGCAATGTCACTTCATGTCTTAAATGTTAATTAACATATGAATTGGACACAACAGTCTGAAAATTGTCCAATTTTTAGTTTGCTACATGTTACCCGTATCATATTGATCATTGGATTTTAATTGTTTGTGAAGTTAGGATCCTTATAATTGTATCATACATGTATGAAACTTTCCGCTAAATTTATTTCTATAGGTTCAGTTTGATTATCTGACATCTAAGAGATGTTTATTAACACTAAGTGGTTATTACAGGGAACTAAAGATGAAATTGTGGATTTTTCTCATGGTAAGCAGCTGTGGGAACTGTGTAGAGAAAAGTACGAACCTTTGTGGCTAAAGGGGGGAAACCACTGTAACTTAGAACTCTATCCTGAGTATTTACGACATCTGAAGAAGTTCATATCAGCCATTGAGAAATTACCTTGTCCTCAAATTGCATCTGACCACAATAACGAGCAACTGGAGCAGCCTGTGAACTCCACAGATCACAATAAGGAGAAATCAAGGGGAAGCACAGACCAAAAGGAGAAGGCTAGGCCTAGTACTGGACAAAGAGAAAAGTCTAGTCCGAGCACTGGTGGCAGAGAAAAATCAAGAGCCAGTACTGATAGGAGGGAGAAATCAAGAAAGAGTCTTGATCATTCTGGGAAGGCAAGGAACAGTGTAGATCATGCAGAAAGAGCTAGGAATAGCTTTGATCGGTTCGTGTAACTATGCAATAATCCCCGTTCTTTTTCTTGAGCAATTTTCATTAGTAGATGGCTGTTAACGATATAACTAAATCCTAATTTTATTCATTGGTTTTGATTATTGGGACTGGTCTATGGTGTGGCAGATTCGGTGATATGGTGAGATCAGTTGGGTTGTGCAATGTTGATTGTCTGAAGCAGGCAGCTGCAGAGGCTTAAGGTGACAAGGAACTTCTATTCAGAGTTGTAAATTTCAACTTCCTTGTTGGAATGTTAGCAAAGAATTGTTTGTTTTTTCCCCAGTAACTTTGTATGATACACAAATAGTTTACTAAGGAGTTGTACTAGGCTTTCTTTTAGTCGTAATGGTGTCGGCTGAACAAACTCTTATACTGGAAAACATATTATGGCAGTGATATGGATTATTCTCAAAGATTCTACACTTGTGTACTTTTATTTTTCTCGGTTGGCAAATCTTGGTCTTTGCTTCGATCAACAAATATATCTTCGATTCTAACTCTTGATTCTGCAGCTTGGTGCATAACTTGACAACAAAGAGGACTGATACTAGAACTTGGTGGGAAGTAAGTATGGATTATTCATATTGTCTGTAACAACAGGGTGATTATGTACCAATAAGGTGATGGCCGAGTGGTACCTGCTGATTCTCGAGAAGAGCTGTTGCGAGTAAGAGCTATAGATTTCGGCAACAGAGAGACTAATCTTAGACCTTTTTAAAGGAAATCTTATTTAAAGAGTTATTAAACAATTTGAAATTTATATAAGATGGTGAATTTTTTAAAAATCATTAAAATTTAGTTCTTAGAAAATTTTAGGAAATTGAGATAATATATTTTAAATTTCATCAATTTAAATATAAGTTTTATCTTTTTATGATTAGAATAAGTATAAATGTTTAAATTAATTCTGCAAATGACATTTATTTACTAAAATCATGACCAGCTTTTTAAATTCACTGGGTAGAAAAATCTTTTTTTAATATATCATATACTACTAAAGTGTAAAAAATTTTCTTACTTGAGTAAAATTCAGAATTGACAGGGATATGGTATGGTAGTTTGCTGAAATGGCAGCATCTACACCTTACAATTCCATCCAAATACCTCCAAATCCAAAACCCCAACGCCTCTCTCTTTGCAATTTCTAGAACTCTCTGCTTTCCCCTTAAACCCTCAATTCACTGGCCATACGGGTTATTACAGCATTTCCACTTCTCGACTAACAACACTATCTTTCTTTCTTCTGCTCCGTAAACTCTCTCGAGGAGTCCATGGCTCCCGTTCTAAGCAGAAGCTTACTGACTGCTTCTTTGACTTCTCTTCCCTTGTCAACTCCGTTTTCGTTTAAAAACCCTAGAGGCAGCTTGAATCTCAGGAGCGTTTTTCTGCCGCCAAATGGTCTAAAAAAGGGTCTTTCTTGCAGTGGATTGAACTGGAAGCTTGAGAAGGGGAATAACCGGATTGCGGTTAGGTGCGAGGCAGCGGTTGCGGAGAAAGAAGAGACTGAGAGCTCGGGCGAGAAGTTTGAATACCAAGCTGAGGTGGGTCTTTTTAGTTTTCATGAATTTTGGGTTTTTCAGCCATTTGGTTTTCGGCTTTCTCTTTGGTTTCACAAAATCCAGAAATGAAAGTTGAAACTCGGTAAACGGACATTGCTAATTTACGTTCTCTCGTTTGATTTTATGTTACCTGTTTTTTCTAATTCGCACTTCTATTGTGATGGAGTAATTTGAGATGTAGCTTAATGTACAACTGTATACTCTAAATGATCGGATAGCTATTGCTTGGCTAGTGTTGTAGATAAACAAATTATAATTCTTGGATGATTGAATGGTTCTTCAAAATATAGTCCCTGTTTCTCTTTTTTGGACTTCGAACTTTTGGATTCTACTTTTGTTATGAATTGTGGATGCTGAAGGATTGAAACTTTTGTATTGCAGGTTAGTCGCCTTTTGGATTTGATAGTTCATAGTTTATACAGCCACAAAGAGGTTTTTCTTCGGGAGCTTGTGAGGTGAGTATCTGCCTCTCCCGTCAGCTATGGTGGAGCATAATGAAGTTTGTAATATGGACTTTGCTCTTGTTTGGATGTTTTGTTTCAATGTTGTGGGAAGACATAAGAGTGTGTTTTTAATTTTTTTGTACCAATTGTATTTATATCTATCATGTTCTGGTAAGGAATCTTTTGTGTGCAAGCTGCTGTTCTTCATTTGGTCTGCATCCTGACTTGCTTCTATCTCATGCTCCAGCAATGCAAGTGATGCCCTGGATAAGCTTAGATTCTTAAGTGTGACAGAGCCCTCTTTGCTTGGAGAAGCAGGGGATCTTGAGATACGCATCAAGCCTGATCCTGATAACGGGACCATTACCATCAGGTATCTTCATCATTTGTTAAAACATGCTAACTTTTTGTTACTTCTTTACTGGATATATGAATAGGAAAGCGGTGACTGAGTTTCCATGAATTTGCAGAGATACTGGAATTGGAATGACCAAAGAGGAACTTGTGGACTGTCTTGGAACTATTGCTCAGAGTGGTACTTCAAAATTCTTGAAGGCTCTTAAGGTACCATTTTTCTGTATTTCCCTAAGTAACTATATGTTTTTAAAAAACTCGTAGTAAGTGCTTTGGCCTCTGTGGCTGTTGTAGCTTACCTGCTATCATGTTTGAGCGTAGGAAAATAACGATCTTGGAGCAGACAATGGTTTGATCGGCCAATTTGGTGTTGGGTTCTATTCTGCCTTTCTAGTTGCTGAAAAGGTAATGTGATTTGCCTTTTTGATTTAAGGCCTCGAGCTTTCTGCTTTTCTGGTGTTTTAATTGGATTTTGGTACTTAAAAGCTCATTTGAGTCATTTGGTTGTTGGCTCCAAGGAGCTTTAAGCAGTTAAAATTTCTGGCTACCTGATTCTTTTTTCCCCCCTGGCCTTCACACTGTAATAAGTCTTAAATGTTTGTCAAAATTAGCATTTGAAGCCAAAAATATAGGAAAATGACAAAATGAAAATCAGTTCTGTTGGGAATAGTGTAAAAGTGTATTACAATAGGGTAAATGGTATATTAGTAATATAGCCTTCTCATTGTAATTAAGTTGTTTCCTTTTATTTCTCATGTAAATATGTATAAATAGGTGCTTCATATTTCATAAATACATACTTCGTTCTGCACAAGTTCCTCTTTACATAA